GATTATCAGGACCTTGAGTTTTTATATGATCCATCAGAAAAAGCCAGTGCTTTGGCTAGAGCACATTTGATGCACATTCCTTTGAGGATGGTTTTCCTTGTTTGGTTGGGGCTTTTTTTTCCCCACACATGGCATTGGTTTTAAAGCATTTAAGTGGTGATTATCCCTTATTTTCCTCCTTTATTGGCAACAATGAATTGTGGGGATAAACAGACTACATGCAATGGTTAAAAAAAAAATAAAAGCACATTTCTGAGCTAAGAAAATGAACTGTGGAGCAAAGACCACGGTGCAATTACACAAGCTTATTCACTGATAGAAGTAAGTGCTGTGGCAGGCAATTATTTCCAGATTCTACCATGCAAGAAAGGCAAACTGTTTGCTGGAGAGCATTCATGAGGGTCAGATGATGGAGGGAAAGGCCAGGAAGACAAGAAGGAAAGCTTTCACATCCCTTTTTCAAGCTGTCACATGAAAGAAATGCCTGTAGTAACATTCAGTGAATATGAACAGGGGGATGTTTGCAAACTGCCAAAACATCCCCCAGTGGGGCAGAGAAAGGAGAGAAAAGAAAATTATCATGAAATAAAACAATAGGAGAATTGTCACCATTTTGTGCTATTTTTGTCATCTGGAGCTGTGGGAAGAGAAGCAAGCTGTGCCTATCCAGCATGTTCTACCCTGGTGCAGCTGTAGCTCCTGCACAGACTCCTCACGTGCTGCTGGGGAAGCACATCCCAATGATGGTGATAAACCTTGATGGCAACAAGGAGAAAAGGAGAGAGCAGAGTTAACAAAGGTATTGGACCTGACTCACCACCACGTGAGGTAAACAACAGTGTTAAAAACATGTGCCCTGAGCCCCATCCCAGCTGCAAAATCACCTGGGCTCGTTTAGAAACCACACTGGTCCTGGTAGCACGTGTGCATACACCAAATTAGCCACATATTCTCACAGACTTCTGCTGAGCTAAGACTGTTGCTGGTTGCTGTTCATCCCTGAGTTGGTGGCTGCAGGATCCCCAGATGATGGCATCTGCCCTGGATGATGGGCAGAGACCAGCCCCTTGGAGGGTCTGGAGTTGTTGCCCCACAGTGACTGCAGGGGGGACCCAAAACACGCACGTTTCTACCAAAGACACCAAGGCAGTGAGGTGGCTCTGGAGCTGCTGGCACATATACCACCATCCCAAGGCTCAGGCAAGCTGGGACCAGCACACCACTCCCGTGGGCACAACAGCTCCATTAGCCCAGGAAGCTGCTCAGGATTAAATGAAGCTGCAGAGAAAGCTCCTCAGGAAATGCAGCCACTCAGGCATAAGAAAGCGGGTCCTGCTATCTACAAGCAATGGGCTGAAAAACAGGAAACAGAGGTCAGGAGAAGACAGCCAGTTCTCATATGGCAGAGTGATAGCAGTGACCTTCCACCGGGGTCTGCCTCTGTGCAGTGACCTCGGCTGCTCAGTCCTTCACAAACGGCCTGGAAAAGGGGTGAGGAGGGAGGGGAGAGAGCTGGCCACTGATAAGGAGCTGGCTGAGGACAAGGACAGGCTGTGAGAACTGCAGACGGTGAGGGGTCAAAGGGCAGATCAAATTCAACACACACAACTGCAAAACTAGGTATTTTGAGGGGGAAAAAAGAGTCCTGGACTCACATGGGCTCTGCACAGACCACTGCTGGTCCAGAGGTGGGTCCTGTGTTTAGTGTCCACCAAAGCACGAGCTCAGCCCTTGGCAGCAGTCAAGAAAGCAGGTCAAGCACTAGGAGCCTGCAGGAAGTGAGCAAAGATCTCAGAGCCTGGCAGGAGAAGAATTACAAACCCTGTCCTCCCTCCTCCCAAAACATCTGGCCACACATGGAGATGGATGCTGGGCTGGATGTGAAACCAGTCTAACCCACACAACCTGGCCTTCTCCATCAGCCATGCTGTCACCTCAGTGCACATCCAGGGTGGGAGGTCTGTGCACCACTCAGTGTCACAGACACAGCCTTGCTCTCTCTACACCCAGTAAATGAGAAGGCATGCAAACAATATGAAAAGGAGGCCTCTACACCTTACCACAAAGATAGCTCTGTCCCAATCAATAACCGACCTTTTTCCCAGCCCTTAACAATGGGATATAAAATGTCAATAACCAAAGCAAACACCAGAATACCAGCCTTGGGAAGATCCATCACTTTCCTTGTTTGCCAGCCAAAAACTGGCCTAAAAAGCATGTAGCAATAGGTTTATTGCTTTTCGGTTGTCAATAACAATCTACATTATTTACAGTAGAAGTCACCTGGCCATGGAGCTGTGCCATGGGGCACCCTCTCTCTCCTGCCATCTTTAGTCATACTTTCACAATATAGATCTTGTTGCAGGGCTACTGCAAGCAGCTGGACAGTTTGCCATGTGTTTTCTTGCTACAGCTTGAAATAATTCCTGGGGACGTGTTACATCCTGAAAGCTGAGACAGCCCCAGACCAAAGCAGCCAGTGAGCCCGCTGCACTCTTTCAGGAACTGGTTTGTGTGTCACAAGCAGGCAATTTACACCAAAACACTCAAGATTGTGCTCACATGGGCTTGAAACAAGTAGTGCTTGTCACAAGAAGAAAGGGATTTTTACTTTCATCTTAGATGGTAACCTTGCTTCTTCTCCCAAAATCAGAAACTGACACCTCAGGGTTTGGTAGCACAGTGTGCCAAGATGTCAGCAGACTCTACTGCCCAGGGACAGTAAGGAATGGGGCAGCTGGGAGAGCTGGTAAGGAACACACAAGGAGAGTGCATGGAACAGGCATGGAGCCATAGTGGGACAAGCATTGGGGACCACTGGGGACATGCAGGGGGTTTCGTGGGATGTGGGAAGCATGCGTGGCACATATAGACATTTAAGAAGGTGCAAAGGGACAGGTGGGGTACAGGGGAGGTGCATGGGGGGGCACAGGAGACCCATGGGCGTGTGGTGGGGCACGGGGAAGCATGGCAGGACATGTAGGCAAACATGGAAGGACAGGTGTGGAAAAGTGGTCACATGTCCTTCTCCACAGCAGGACACATGTGTAGAAGTGGTGAGACACATGGGGGAGCATGTGGAAACATGAGGGAGACACAGGGGTTTGGGGGCCAGGCACGGCGTGACACAGTTGGCAGGAGGAATGGGGGTCACAGAGTGGGGACACACTGGGGATTGAAGGGACCCACAAGGCTTCTCTAGGCAAGTGTCCCCACCTCCCACAGGGCCCCCCTGTATCCCACGGCCACAGCCTGTGGTGGGCAAGGGGACGCAGGGGAATGTGCACACTTCAAGGGCCAGAGGAACGAGCACCAGCAGCCATTTCTGCAACAGCCCTCCATAGAAAAGGTGGGTGTGAGAGAATTATACCCAAAACACAGAGATAACACTAAGATATGTAATTATTTGTGCATACATACTTACAACTAATTAATATATAGATATGAAATAAGAAAGCAAAGATGGGCAAACTGTGGATCTGGAAGGTAAGTGTGAAGCACAGTGAAATCCCCACCCACCGGGGAGGAAAAGTAGCCCAGCCCTGGTAAGGCGATGCTGAGGTGGTGTGAGGGTGGTGGAGGGCATTAGGGGGGCTCTCTGAGGGTCACTCAAGTATGCTCCCCTGGGGCCTGGAGAAGGCAGGGCTTCTTTTTCCCAGACTTCCTCTTCAAAAGGGAGGAAAACCTCCTGTCTGTTCATTGCAAAGTGTATCTCTGACCCAGTGAAACCAGTAGAGGAAGTGTCAAGCCACACCCTGCAAAAAAAACAATCCCGTGTGAATGTGTACGTCTGTATCTGTGCACAGATGGCTCAGGGCAAGGGAAGCTTTGTGGCCCAAGGGATCTAAAATCTGCCATGTGGCTGTGGGGCGGTGCCCAGGCTCAGACTCCAGCCCTGCTACATGGGCTGAGAGCCCATCTGGCCCCAAAGGGCCACCAGCTCTCCAGCACTTGGGCTGCCAAAGCTGGCCACATCCAAAACCTGGCTTATGAAGGAGGGCTTCTAATTCCAGCCTAGTGTGCCTCAACTCAAAACTAATTTACAGTTCTTCCTTGGTCTAAACCTACCAAGAAAAGGAAACAGGTGGAAGGTGCACAGATGTACTCCTTTCCCTTCCCTCCATCCCAGCAGTGAAGTTTTCCCCAGGCAGGCAAGGAGATTTTCTGGTGTCCCAAGGGGGTGGAAGGATGTCACCATGATATTTTCTGAAAAATCCCTTTGCCAGGATTTTTCTCCTGAGAAGCTGAGAAGCCTCAGAAAAGAAATGTAAACAATAATTATCTGATTGCTTGGAATGTGGTCTGGAGGTTGCTTACCAACAGGTGCATCTTTGATTGGTTCCATGTGAATTGTTTTAACTTAATGACCAATCCTAGTCCTGTGTCAGACTCTCTGGTCAGTCACAGGTTTTTATTATTCATTCTTTTCTAGCCTTCTGATGTCTCCTTTCTCTTTCTTTAGTATAGTTTTAGTATATAATTTTCTTTTAATATAATATGATATCATAATATAATAAATCAGCCTTCTGAGAACTTAGAGTCAATTCTCATCTCTCACCTCATCCTGGGGACCCTCACAACACCACAACAATTGGTGACCACAGAGGGAGACCCATAGCCAGAATTTTTCTGTGGCCAGGCAGAATGACCCTCTTCACCATGGTAAGTGGGACTCTTCCTCAGATATGTTTAGCCACAATCCAGCTTTACTGTTGAATTGTCCTCACATCTCTGATGACAAACTTTAAAAGAAGTATGTTACAGCTCTTGGTGTTTTCCAGTCCTTAGGAAAAACTTGTTGATTTGCTTTTCTTAAAAAAATGCAACTCAAAATCAGCTATTACAGGCTAATTTAGCCCACACCATTCCTACAGCCTGGTACCTTTCTGATAACACAGCGTGAGGGTTTGGGTGGATTTGTTTTTCTCGTGTTTACTTTAAATCAAGTCAGTCTGTTTTTCTCTTTCACTTCTGCAACTCCTTGATGTGTGAGGCAGCATTTTAGCTCAAAGTGCCCCCAACTAACTGCAGGAGCTACCACTCACAGCATAAACAGCCTGGGATTCTCCACTGCTGCCCCTGTCTCCTCTGCCCACAGCCCCACGCAGCTCCAGGTCTCACCCCTTGGAGTTAATGTGATGTTCCTGCTGCGTTGCCTTGTGCTGGTTAGTGGGACTTTACACTCAACAAGATTGTGTTTGAAGCTCAGTTTCCATGCTTGGCATCAGGCAGGCACCATGTTGCCCTCAGTGGGAGGGGGACCAATGCGGGTGACACCCCTCAGGTTGATTGCTCCCAACCTCCTTCCCTGCTCAGCAGCTGCCTTGGGGACGGGGTGGCTTTGGCAGCTGCCAGCAGGGACCTGCCCCAGGACCTGAATCCGTGGGGTGGGTACCCAGAGTGGGGGGAGAGGAAACAGAGGCTCTTGGAAGGCTGAAATTAAAAATGGCAAGGAAAAGGAAGAAGAAGGGGAAGCCAAAGTAGAAATTGAGAGCTCTGGAGCTGGGAGAAGGAGTCAGTCTGTTACTCTGCTTTTACTCTGCCGCTGTTAATCTCTACCCACCGAATGAGTCCAATTAGTAATTATCAGTGTATGCCAGCTGTTATTTCAGTACTGGCAACACCTGCATTTAGAGAACATCTGTTTTTTCTGTGAAGCTGCAAGTCCTATAGTTAACATATTGGTATTTAATGTTCTTTGGTTTGGTTTTTTTTTTCTTTTAAATCTTCAACCTGTTCTGTAGTGCTGTGCTAGCAGTACACATGCAAACAAAACTCAGCAGTTCAAAATTACTATAAATTAATGAACTTCTCCTTTCCACGTTTGTCCCCAGCCTCAGAGCCCTCCTGCCTTATGCTGCTTCATCGTACTCACTCAAAATAAGCCCAATAGAAGTTGCAACATCTTAGCACATTTCACATAAGGCTATTCCTGGCACATGCTGAAAAGCATCTATTTTAATGTGACTTGGGGGGGGTGGATAAGCCATTTAGCCAGTTTTTGGGAGGAGGTGCCTGTATCAATAGCAACTGAAGCATATCTACAAGAGAAAAAGAAAAAAACCTCCTGAGAGAGAGAGATGCTATTGAGTTGTTGAGGCTTTCAAATCTCAGGGCATCTTCTTTATTTATAGCTCTTCTGTGACTAAATATTATTTTCCAATTACTATATTGTGATTTTTTCAGTTGGGCTTCTTATCCTTTCTTCGAAGCAATGTGACCACACAGTACTGTTTTTGAGGAGTGTTTGCTGTTTGAGGTTACAAGATGAAACCACAGAGTTCCTTATCTTGTCTTTCTGCATCTGTTTTTACATGAGCTAGCAAAGCAAAAGAGCAAAGCAGTAACAACTGAAAACTCCTTTTTCCCCTCCCCTCACCCATATTTTTGAAGCCACAGGAGAAGTCCCCTGTAGGATCCAGCTGCTGGCTCTCTCTGGTTTTTTTTCTGTCTGCAGACCAGGTAGGAACGTACTTCCAAAGGGTGGGCTGCGAGGGAAAGCAGGAAAGTGGAAAGCAGTCACCAGCCTGGCATGGTTCCTCCTGAAACTTGTGTTTGTACCTTAGGAAACAGCTCTGGAAATAGCAATAAAGTTTGATTTGCTACCTTTCCTCCCCAAACTTTCAGCGTTCAATATTTAATGGCTACTAAGTCTTGACAGAAAACATGTCTGGACATGAAAGCTGGTGGGAGTTTGCTCAGTTCTTGGGATCCTGGGCAGCAGTGCAGGGGATTTGGTGGCTGTTCTCCCAAGGGTTGTTATCTGGTGTTGGGAGGGCAGTGACTGTCACTGCTGCCATCTGGAATACTTTAATCACTCTCAAGGGAAGACTTTTGGGTGAGCCCCGGTGACAAAATCTGCTCCTGTATTTCTAGTTTTAGGTTACAAGCTCATTAAAGACTTCTAGCAGGGATGAACTGGGCCACCTTTTCAGGCAGGGATGTGGGGCATGGGGGACTGGAACATCTGGTCCCTGAGCTGTACTGTGCTCTGCTGGTATACCTAGAGGCCTTTCCAACTCACTCAAGCTTCCACAGACCTTGAGTTGCTTTCAAAGGCATGTTTTACATGTTCCAGTGATCAGGCTGAGTGTATCCCAACAGTTTCTACACAACTGTGCAGGTACAAATCACTGTGAAAGGCTATCTCCTTGCAAGGGTTCAGTGAAGTCTGGCCAAGCTGGGAGTGGTGCTTAAGGACAGCCATACTTGGACTGCTGTGGCTTTTTTATCCTGTGACCTTTAGCTAAGAGGGAAATTAATTAAGAAACATTATAAATAGCTTCTTAGACATATGTCTTAAGTTATCATTATCTCCAAACTATTGCTCCATGTCACAACGAGGTGCCCAGCCATTTCAGGGATACTTGGGCAGACAGCACAAAGCTGCCTCTTGTGCTCTCCTCCCACATGTTCATCACACTGAACCAGCCCTGTAGGAAAACAAAATCTGCCCCAGAGCACCTGGAGCACCTGGGATGCCAAGGAGGAGGAGGAGGCAGTGGAGGAGGCAGTGGAGGAAGCAGTGAGCACAGGAGCTCAAGTGTGTTCTGGTGGAGATCAAGTCAACAGCTCACATCTGACTAGGTAGCATCCTATCCCTAAACTTATGGTTGGATTTCAGAGACAACACAATTTTTCTAGCATGAAATGACCTCCTCAATCAACAGACTGATTTATGAGGAAAAATTTGCAGTATTGAACTCTCAGGGATGTTAATTTTTTGTGCACAGCCTCCAGCAAATCTCATGGAAATTTTGCCTGAGAAACAGAATTAGTGTCACTATCTGGAGACCCAACTTGAAAAGACAGCACTGATAATGACATAGGTTTAGTGCTGTCTCTCAGAAACTCCAACTTTAATAAGATGGCCGGGACAGCTGTGTTTAGACAAACATTTCCTGCTGGCAGAAGCCATTTCTGAATCACTTGTCAAGCTCCATGTAAGTCCAGGAAGCTTCACCCCAGCGGGTGACTTCTCACTGCTCAGCCCATATCTAAGTCTAACCTGAACCCTGCTTCTCCTTCAGCTTCAGGCCATTGCTACTAACCTGCCACCTTCAAGAGCAGAGCAACAGCCTGCTCTTGTTTCTGTTAGTATATGTCTTTGAAAGTTCATTCCCATCCTCATCCTGCTCACCTCTCCCCAGGGAGGACCCTAAGTGACCCCAGAGGTTATATGCACAGGCCTGTATCTTTTATGTATTAGCATGGTTCTTATAAGCCTTTTCTAAATACCAAAGGTGAAAAGCACACACTGCATCTCAGGTTGGCTGCTACAGATTCATTACCTCGTGGCTTTTACCCATAAACCCTTTTTCTTAGAATGATAGTGTGTTTTGGGTTGGAAGAGGCTTTTAAAGATCACCTAATTCCAACCTCCCTGCAGGGACACCTTTCACTAGATCAGGTTGCTCAGAACCACATCCAACCTGAACACTTTCAGGGATGGGGCATCCACAGTTTCTCTGAGCAACCTGTGCCAGTGCCTCACCACCCTCAAAGAAAATAATTTCTTCCTTTAAAGCCTTCGCCCCTAATCCTGTCACTACATATCCTTGTAAAATATTCCTCTCCAACTTTCTTGTACCTTTCTTTTCCTACGGGACCAGCTGTCACTTCTATTCCCAGTGCTTTTCTCCACAACACCTAGCATTCCACCTAACATCCTCTTTGCTGGTAACTGCTCCCTATCCCATCCCCCGGGAGTTGCATTCACAGCCCCAGGGTCCCACCCAGGAGGGGTTGTTCCGCCCATCCCCAAAAGGTGAGGGCAACCCAAGTTCTTGCTAACAGATCCCTTGGGGTGCATTAGAGTGAAAGGACATTAGACAATCAGTGTTTGCAAATATATAAATTAATATAAAATTAACTCTACATTTATATATATATATATAGAGAGAGAGAGAGAGAGAGTTAATTTTAGAACAATTTCGTTGCAACAGAAAGCAGGCATGCAGCCGTTTTGGTTACTGTTATCTACAGTAATTTGTCAATATGAAAGCATAAAAATATCACTCACTTAAGAAAATGTGTAAGGGAAAAGATAGAAAGAGAAAGAAAAGGTAGGAGTAGAAACGTATCACCACCCACGGATCTCACTGCAAGACTTGATTGTTGCAATTTAGTGTCCCTGGGTCAAAGTGATGATCCCAGTCTTAATCTGTTCGGGGTGGGCAAAAAAGCCGTGAAACACAAGGTCCCATGGGTTCAAATACACTCGGGCTCATTGGGAGCACCCAGGCACCTCCCCTGGGGGCGAGCTTTCAGTCCTCTTCAGTCCTCTGGTGGAAAGCCTCAGAAATGAGGCACTCTGGGGTCTTTGATGATTTGTGACACCACATGACAGCTGCCTCTCAGATCAGCACAGCTGAGCCAGGAATGTCCCATCAGGAGGGATGAAAACCCTCAGGACCTTTCCCAGGTGGAGGTGTGTGAGGGGAGCTTTACAACTGAGCGACTTATGTAAGGGTGGGCATTGGGCATGATGAAAAAGCACCATCACACCTCACAGGATCTGCCTCTTATCGGCCTCAAAGCCCGTTTGTTGCCTCCAGTTGATTGTTCAGCCCCTCTGTTTTATGCAGACCAGAGGTTTGCCATCACACACCCAAAAGCTCACCTCCTCCCCCTGGGGAGGTGCAAAGCACCATACCGCCTCCCCAGATGGGCCATTGTTTTGAGCCATTAACCATTAACATTTTAACATTTCCCCGGGCTGGTTGATTGCAGGACGTGGTGGTATTGCCTTCCCACCAGGCATGAGTGTGAGTGGTAACCTTCTCCCGTGGGCACTCTTGACACGGCATATCACACCTGAAAGGCATCTTCTTCATAACTATTTCATCTCCCACACTGAGTGGCTTCTCTCTTTCCTTTTTTTTTTTTTTTTAATTTGTGTTCCCCCTGATTCACCTGTTGCATGAGGGGAGGCACTGACAGGCCTTGCAGGAGGCACACCGAGCAGCCAGTGCTCGCTCTCCTCCCTGCTTCACCCCGACTGCTTGGGGACAGAGTTGACACAATTGCTTTTGCCAGTGCCAGGGTACATTTCCCCATCCTGCCCCATCCACATCCCTGCTGTGCCTCTCCAAGGGCACCCAAAATCTGGCTCTGGTCACAGGCCCACATGCGGAGGTGAGCTCAGTGCTCTGGCCTTGCAGAGGTAGAAGGCATCCCTCCATGTGCCCTCTTTGCCCTGACCCATTTCACTCCCTTTTGCTGCTTTACTTCCCGTGACAAATTTGCTGTGCCAGGTCTGTGGAAAGCAGCTGGAAGAGTTTCATGCCCACACTGTTTTTCTCCTTTATACCGCTCAGCAGGCTTGGATCCATTCAAATCTCCCTTTCTTTTCTTTATTTTTTTTTCATCTTTTCAGTGCAGCTTCCTACAATTTCAGCTTTTTGGCTGACTTGAGTCTTGAAATCTGTCTTTCCTCTTTCCTGTGCTTCCTCCTGCAGTAACCCTTCACATGCCATGGCCTTGCTTTCCACAGGCACGTGGAGGCCTGGTATGAACACCAGAGTGGAAAGCTGCTGGCACCCGACAGAGCCACATATAAGGAATGTCAGGGTGAAAAGTTTTCAGGACACACTGCAAGGTGTGCTGGCTCCATCCTGCAAAGAGGTAAGGCAGGTAGATGCCCTTAGCACTACACAGGAGACTGCAGGCTCTCAGGGACAGGCAGGAAGCAGAGCCATTCCACGTCACAGCTGTGCCTCCGGCTTGGACACCTCCAGTTCTGATGGCACAAATGCAACACACATTTCTGGCCATCTCATGTCTTCTGAGGACTTGCCACAGCCTGATGCAGGAAGGCCAGCAGTCAGCTGCTCTTCCATTTGGCAGATGCCTGTGCAGCTGGAAGCCTGTGGTAGGAAACCAGAGGGATGTCCCACCACCAGCCAGCTGTGCTGCTGGCAGCTGCAAGCTCAGCTGCTGCTCTACAGTTGGACTAGATGACCTTTTCCAGCCTAAATGATCCTACAATCAGCAGTGAAGATTTCACATTATTGGATAACAGAGCAGGATGAGTTATCAGAGGAGAATAGGAACCCTCACTGGGCTTCTACCAACCTACCTAGCTACAAGGACCTGCAACAAAAAGGACATTTTTGCTTTATCCTGATTTAAACCATACTGGTGAGCCAGCCTGAAGCTAGTCTGATTTCCCTCTGCTCTTACTGAGAAGAATTTTGTGTGTCTATTTATTTCTGGATGCTGTTCACTGTGTGCACACTATCATATGATTCTGTTTGATGCTGGAGGGATAGTAATAATAATAATAATAATAATAATAATAATAATAATAATAATAATAATAATAATAGTTATTGTTATATGCTTACACATACAGTGTGACACTGGCACCCCGTTCCCAAATAGCTGGAATCAGACATGGAGCTCAGCATGCTGTTTCCTGGAGCAGATCCCCAAGTACCACATATAACTGTCTCAAGTTAATGCTCCAGATCAGGCAGCTCTTTGGAGTTTTATTTTTGTTTAAGAAACGTATTTGCCAAGAATAGGCGTATTTGCTGATCTGGAATGTTCCTTGGACATTAAACGAGCCAATGGCAAGAATGCAGGAGTCATCCTTGTCACATGGGTCAACCTCATCTCTCTTTTTAAACAAGTCAGGCATTTCCAGCCTCACAGCCCTGCCAGCTCCATGCCCACTTCCCAGCAGCAGAGTGCAGGGAAGACTCAGTGCCTGGCAAACCCAGCCTGGTCAAAAGCAAATTACAAAGGAAAATACCCTTACCAAAAAAAGTAATTTTCTCTTAAGAAATGCTCTTTCCTGCTTTTTTATCTCTGGTTTAGGGCTTTTTTCATATGACTTCATGGCATTTAATTTGTCCTGCATATTATAGAGGAAAACATTATTTTTTTATTCTGTTTCATTTTAAAACTATTAAAACCATCTGCCACTTAGTAAACACTAAAATACTTTCTTTTCTAGATCAAAGTGTCTCCTGTCTGTGTTGTAATGGAAGTTTGACATTATTTTTTTTACAAGACAGGCAGGAGACACTTTGATCAGGTGCCAAACTGTTTCACTACAACAAACAGGCAACACTCTGAGCTAGAAACGATAAGATGTTATTATGCGCCGTGATGATTTCATGACATGTCAGCCATGATGTTAAAAAACTCTACAGAACATATAACTTTAAAAATATCATTGTGAAATTCCAGATTTTTTTAAATTAACAACTTATGAATTGAAAGCATTCCTGTTATATTTTCCCCTACAGATTTATGACCTTTTTGTAGCATAATTGGCTATTTTTGAGTTATTTTAATTTTGATCAGTATCTTCTGTCAAAACCACTTAATTTGAAAAAATTCTGATGGATTCAACCTAAAAAACTTTTTTAAAAGCCTATTTATAGACTAAATATTATTGTCCCTGTCAGAGAACAAAGGAATCACCTGCTAGCTCTTTTGTCATTCCTAAATAAGTTAATTGCTTGAGGATAATTTCATCTATATTTCTCAAATGCACTGCTCCAACCAGTCCCCCATACAATGTTTGCCTTTTATCCTGGGATGCAGGATGACTCCACAGAGAACCCATGGCTTTCCAATAACATAAATACTGCAGCTACACACTGTGGAAAAACAAACAAGCAAACAAAACCATGCACATTGTAATTTCTATCTTAATTTGCATTCTGAAGAGAAGATGATCTCTTCCACAGTCACCTATGCCAAGCACATGGACACCACAGACAGGCTGGGTGTGAGTATGCAGCCCCTGAACAGGGAGCTGCAGGTGGAGCAGGTAAAGTCAAACAGCCTCTCTTCCTCTCCCTAAAAGCAGGTTTTCTCCTGCTTTGTCAGCAGGAGCTATTCCAGCTTTCCATGTGGACAGTCACAGCTGAGAAAGGGTTGGTTATCTCTGATGGACACAGCAACTGGAGGAGGTGTCTGCAGCCCAGGATAACTGGTAGCAGAAGGGAAGCAGCATGCACAAGCTCTCACCAGTGGGAAAAGATGGGCACTCCTCCTCATCTGGAACTTGCAAATTATTTTACCACAAATGAGGTGAGAAACTTCATGGGCCGAGAAAAAAGTTGCATCAAAGAAAAGTCTGATTGGGTAATAGGAAAAAACCCCAAACAACATTGGAAGAGATTTCCCAGAAGGACTGCAGATTTTTTGTCCTTGGAGGTTTCCAAAACTCAGGTGGACACAGTCCTGAGTGATCTGTCCTCATGCTGAGATTAGCCCAGCTCTCAGTGTGCAGTTGGAGCACATGACCTCCCCAGGTCCCTTAAAGGTTCGGTCATTCTACATCTATGCTACTTTGTCCCTGCGATCATGTGATGAATTCCAGGCCAGGAGATAACAAGTCTCAGGTTTTCCCAAGGGTGATCTTGTATCCTTACCAGCATCTGCTGTGCTGGTGGTGCAGGTCATCACCTCCCATTCCAGGCACGTGCCATCGGAGGCACAGCATCCAATCCTTCTAGGAAAAAGTCCTTGGCTTCCCAAATTACTGCATTTCAAGCACGCATTTGAACCAGTCTGGGGTTGAAGGACTGGTATCACACCACCCAAGGTCAGGCAGAGACCCAAGGCAGCACCAGTCTGGGGGCACAGCGAGTTGTTTGTCCAACACAACCACATGCTGCTATGGCATCAACACACAGAGCATGTCTGAGCACAGCCCAGGCCGCTGCACACCGGGGTTCTGTGTCAGTATGTGCAGCACAAACAGGCACAAGCACGGATCACTTCATATTTGGGTCTGCTTTCATCCCCTGATGCTTCAGGTCAGCAGGTGTCACAGCCTGGAAAATGACTTTCCAGCATCAGTGGAATAAAGGCTGCTCAAGAAACAATTAAGCCTTAGATCAGCCTCTCATCTTTTAAAAGCAAGTTGTTCAAAACCAAAAGCCATAGGATTGTGTACATTTGTCATTTCAACCCAGCAGTAAGTATTTTAATGTGCAATAAATCATTACTCACAGAATCACAAAATATGCTGAGTTGGAAGGGACCCCCAGGGATCATTGAGTCCAACTCCCAGCCCTGCTCAGCACCATCCCCAAGAGCTACACCATGTGCCTGAGAGCATTGTCCAAATGTTTCTGGAGCTCTGTCAGGCTTGGTGCTGTGGTCACTTCCCTGGGGAGCTGTTCCAGTGCCTGACCACCCTCTGGGTGAAGAAGCTTTTCCTAATGTCCAACCTGAACCTCCCCTGGCACAATTTCAGGCCATTCCCTCAGATCCTGTCACTGGTCACCACAGGGAAGAGATCAGTGCCTGCCCCTGCTTTTCCCTTCACAAGGAAGTTGGGGACTGCAAGGTCTCCCCTCAGTCTCCTCCAGGCAGAACAGACCAAGAGACTTCAGCTGCTCTTCATATGGCTTCTCCTCCAGGCCCTTAAATCCAGAGCCTGGGAGGCTAGAGGTTTGGGTTGGGCATTGCCAAAGAACCAGAAGCAATGCTATTATTGTATGATTCCAGTTTTTCAAACAACTCTTGTGTCCTTTGGTGTGCTCCTGATGAAGTTCTGATGTAGTAGACTGGAGGTGGGACCTTTACTGCTGCTGGTTATTTTTGCTGGAAATGGCTGTTGCTATTTTTCAGTCTCATTAACTCAGCCAGCAGTTTCTGGGAAACAGAAAAGTCAGTGCTTTCTCCTGACCCTTCAAAACACAACCTAAGCTTTAGGAAACCTGTTGTTGGAGAGTTCTGGATCCACAGTCCTGCCTCCACTGTTGGGGCCACTGAGAAAGCACTGCTGGCTGTAGGGTGGCCGTGCCCCTGGGCACTGAGGGGCATTAGCCCTGGTGCCTGGGCTCCAGCTCCAGGGAAGCAATCTTCTACAAAGCAGCTGGAGCCAAATGCTGCCCAGGTTGCAGAGCTATAATAAAAGCCCTCCAGATTCTTTTGGGGTGAGTGAATGAACACTGCTGCCTCTGAAGTAAATGCTACTTTTAAGAGGCTCAGTGGAGCTGTAGCTTTCTATAAGCCCAATCTGAACACTGTTTCTCCTCACCCATCTGCACAGCTGAAAGAGACTGGCCCCTTGCATTCCCCATTTTTGTAAACAAGGCTGCAACCTTTATTCCTGCCTTGAGGAACAGATTGAATTGCTTTTGATGATCCAGAACAATGTCATCCTTTATTCCCTCTTCAAAAGCAATTAGTATTTCAGCTTGATTATTTGCAGATAATATGAGTCACCAGATAAAACACATTGAATACAAAATGCTCATTGGGAGGGAAAGAGATAAATGGTATTTAAGGTTAAAAATCCAGCATATGCTTAAATATCACAAAACTGTCACACATCGAGGAAAATAATTCAGTCCCACTTCATGAAACAGAAAGATTGATCCTGTGTTTGTTTAACCCCAAACCCTTAATTAATTTATTGCAGGATAAGGGCACCATGACACCAAAGATTGTGTCACTGTCACAGCCCAAGAACAAGTTTGGTGCAACACGATTTCAGAGCTGTCAAACTATCCAAAATTTCAGGCCAAATATGTAATTTAATCTTAAAAAGACAATTTTGGAATATTCTTCTCTTATTTCTTTTCTGATTTCTAGCTTGGTGTATTGCAGCTCGTTGATATTTTCAGCTCTTTTACCCAGAAACCCAAGGCTAGAAGCTGACTCATTCTTAATAGAATGTACAAATCTCACAGGAGCAGCATTATTTCAGGAACTCACATTTTAATGGGAGCATCAAATCTATCTGGCATTATGATAAGGTCATCAGAAATTAGCAATACTGAAGGTTTATCCTGAGTTTGCTTCTAACATAGATGATGGGTGATATATCCTTTCTCTGTACTGATGTTGCCAAGTAGCTTCATTGGCAAACTTTGAAGTAAATATAGAAATGGAGTTTTGTTAAAATTTAGACCAAAAATAAAGTTTGCTTTTCACTTTCTCTGAAAAGAAAATTAACGTCTGAGAGTTTTCACATACAACATCTCAAAAGGGTGTATGAGTTTTCATTTCAACCTTTCCCTAGATTGGAAATGAAATTCCCTAGATTCCATGGCTGGAACAGCCATGAACTGCCAGGCTTTGCTGGAAGGATTCTTCCTTCCCCCTGGGATGTACACCACTGTGTGCAGAACTGCTGTGGCCTTCTACAGAGTGTTTTATATTTACATCAGTTTTTTAGCATTGATACAAGATTTTTTTCCTCTCTAAATTACTAACAACTGATACCTATACTTCCACATCCCCAAAAGGAAACTCTTTTAAATAAAGGGGTGCTTGCCACTGAAGCAGTGTGGTGAAATGCAAAGAGAATTGTGGCTCAAGTTAATTTTACCTCCAGATTGCCTATGAGTAGCCATGCTGAGATGGAATTAGAAAATCCATGGAAAGTGGAAGTGTTTTCCTCTGGGCTATAGGGTGCAGAGGTGCAGCCCTCTCCTTGCCCCATATATCTCACCAGTGGCTGGGGCCATAACCCTCAGGAAGAGCTCCTTGAGGAAGGGGTGGGGGGCAGTGGCCAGCTGAAAGCTCCTGTATCACCTGTCCTACAGGCTCTCCACCTCCTGATCCAACAGGCTCAGTATGTAGGGCCTGGGGGGTCTAGGCACATACATGTGTTCTGCCAAAACCCAGGTTGTCCAGGAGCAAGTTAAAACACTGCAGGCTTTGAGGATGCTCCAGTAGAAAAGCAGCCCCAAAACTCCTCACTGTCAACTCTTTAAGACAGAAAGGGACACCTGCTAGAGTAGTTCCTTCCCCTGTAAGATTTCACTTGATTTATTAAAAATAAACTAAGAGCAGCAATATTGTGAAAGGCAGATGGAGAAAGCCCATGGCTTCAGGCTTCTCACCAAGGCTTTGCTGAGCCTTGTACTCAGGGGCACAGACAGGTACAGCACTTCAACCCAGCTGCTTCAGTCAGCTGCATTATTCTGATAATGCATTTGAAATGTTTTGCTCAGCTGCATTTGATTTCCCCCCATCCCAGGTAAGTATTTGGTTTTCCCCTCTATCAACTGGGGGCCACTTCTCCCTGAAGGCAGGGGAGCTTGCAGTGAGCTGCAAACCAAATCCACTCTTCGCGCTCACTTTCACTTTTCATTTCTCTTCAGATCAGGGGTTTTCATCAACTATATCTTTTCTACAAAGAAGTCCTTTTGGCTTCTTTCACTTGTGATTTTGCAAGTCTTTATAATCAGTTCTTACAAATGCTTTAAGCAAGACCACTGAAGCACTTTGTAACATCCTTCTGGAGCATTTATAAACAAGGTTGTGTCAGGGACCAGCCTGACATCACTTAGAGACAAACATTTACCTCTAGGGTCATGGAAATATTTCCAAAGAACTGTTCCTTGCAGAGTTTCAGTGGTCTGGCCTGCTCAGATGTTTGGTCCTCACCTCAGTCACCTCATAGGGTCAGTGCAAGCAGGAATGGTGGCCCTGGAGCAGCTGGCACCAGGGAAGATGCACTTACAGCACCAGAGACTGAATTAAGTCAGCAAAAAAGCCCAACTTCTTTTAGTATGGACATTCCTATGAATTCATCATGCTTTCATGTCTATGCAAAAGATGCAATAGGTTACCCCTGGAGCACCTTTGGAACTCCTGAACACCCTACCTCCCATGGCAGAAAGATTCTCTTCCACAGAGTAGAGAAGTAACCACTTTCAGTACATTATAAAGCAGGTTTCACAGCTCCCCAGCAGTGCCAAGTTTCCAGCTTCTCTCTGGCTATGCAAGGAAGGGAAATGAGCTCCTACAAGCCTCCCGTGAAGAATGGATCCTCATTTCCAGCACCTGTAAGCGGGGCCGGCAGGGCAGGAGGGGGATGAAGTGCAGAGCACGGCAGGCTGCAGCCCCAGGTGGGCCCATGGAGGGCACTCTGTTCTGGCAGCGGCCGGTTGCACGGAGATCAGGAGTTTAAGCACAGATCTAATTGAATTGCAGATGTCTTTTCTGATGGCTATCTGCTAGCAAAGCTTCAATTAAAGCAGGAGCAAAGGCAGAACGGGGAGGTTCTCAGTAATAAAACTAATGGAAGGAAGAGTGGCCATTTACAGCAGCCTCCACAGAGAGCATAATGCAGGGAGATTCTTTTAACACGGTTGTTTTTGGGGTTTTTTTTTGGGTGTTGGCCAAAAGATCTGAAACCTCAGCACAGATACCCAGCTTCCAAATCCTAGAGATCTTAAGTGTATGTTGGACTGGAAAGCAGCTAACCATAATTTAAATAATACACAAATAAGCTCATCTCCATTGCTTCCAGTACTCCTTGATGAACAACTTCAGCTGCTTTCCATTCTGAAGGCCATTGAGGTTTGTTCTTCTTGACTTTGGTTTTAAGGCTGAAAGGTTTTATTCACTCCCCTTTTGTTACTTCCAAGATTAAGGTGGATTTGCCCTGAGCTTGCAGTTGCCATCTCTTATCATCTTACAGTGCCTTTGGAGCTCCAAAGAGGGAGAACTTTAACAGCTCTCAGTGCACCCAAACTACAAGACTATAAATTGGAGTATTATGACCCTTTTTTTTTTATTTTTTTTTACCTGCAGCTACTTTCTCATGATGGCTTGAGCCACATCCAGTGTGTATTACCACATACACATCACTGAAAAACCACCCCCACCCAATGCAGCTGAAGAATCAAAATTAAGCTTCAAGATGGCCTGAGAACCTGGTTTAGCTCAGGAATAAGGTTTTTGAGAACTGTTTTCCCTTTCCTCAGCCGATTGTTACGCTGTACCCAAATTCCTGTTGTGCAACAGTTTGGAGGCCTCTGGGCCATGTCCTACCCAAACCCTCTTGCTTCTTGGCGCAGCACAACTCTCCTGGGGGCATCTCAATGGACAATCACCCCCTGGGATTCAGTTTCAAGGAAAATAATCAGAGTTTGGCTCATTTTCCCTTTTGAACTGCTGCCCTTTTCCGATGTATTTACAATGTAAGGAAGTCAGTTTATTCATGGTTTGGCTTTTAACTTTGTTGTTGAGCTTGGCTTTGCTCCTGTTGGAAATTGGACCCCAGTTGAGGAGGGCAGTTGCCAGTGTCTGCTGGAAGCTCCTTGCCTGGGATTCTCAAGCAGGCTGTTTGTTGACCTAGCTCAGCACATACTAAATAAATGCAGTCAGAAGAGTCTGCTTACTCATCACAGGAAAAGGACTGGCCCAGTGGCAGGAGTTTTCCAGAATCTCCCCAAACATTTCAAATGCCTAAGTTCACTCCAGACTTCTCAGGAGGTCCCTCCAGCAACCATTCTCCATTTAATTTCAAACATCTGAAGTAACACTGAACAGCAAAGGTTGGAATTGGGCTGATTTCCTTGAATTTCTAACTTATTTCAGGTTTTTTTTTCCAGCAGAAAATTCACCAGGAAGTTAAAAAATATAACCCTAAAAGAGAGGAGAAAAGTGACAAATAATGCATCATCTGTAGGATGTGACCTGTTACTAACGTGCTCAGGATGCTTAACGAGAGGTTTTGCAAACGGCACATATTAAATAAACAAGTATGCCTCCAGCCAGCAAGCTGCTATTTGTCCCTGCAAGGAATAAATAATACTTCAAATTCTTTGTATTGAGATTTGTAGCTACAAAAAATCATGGGTGGTAATTCCCAAATAGCCTTGTGGGGTTCTTTCTGCAGCTGAACCACAGGAAGCTTCCTCCGAGGCATTTATTCCCTAAGAATTAGGGAGAGGCATCTCTAAGGCACTGCATTTACTCCCCTGCTGCTGGGAGGTTTTGTCTGGGTGCTCTCTGGACAGTTTCCAGGCATGTTATTGAAGAGTATTTCTCTTTCCTTCCACAACAGTCACTTGCTCACTCCCCCCTGACAGGGATGGGGGAGAGATTTGGAGAAGTAAGGTTTACAGGTTGATATCAAGACAGTCTAACAGGTAAAGCAAAAGCTGTGCACACTAGCAAAGTACAACAGGGAATCCATTCATCACCTCCCATGGGCAGGCAGGTGTTCAGCCATCCCCATGATAGCAGGGCTCAATCACATGTAATGGTGACTTGGGAAGACAAACCCCATAATTCCAAACATTCCTTCTTCTTCCCCCGGCTTTATATGCTGAGTATGATGCCATATAGTCTGGGATATCCCTTTGGAGTCAGCTGTCCCAGCTGTGTCCCCTTCCAGCCCTGTCACTGGTGGGGTGAGAGGCAGAAAGGGCCCTGACTCTGTGTCAGCCCTGATCAGCTGTAACAAACACATCCCTGTGTTACCAACACTGTTCTCCACACAAAACCAAACTATAGCTCCACACTAGCTCCTATGATGAATCTTAGCTCTATCCCAGCCCAAACCAGCATATTCTCCATTCCTGATTCCATACCATTTGCATCGTGCTTAAGTCCCACACTATCCAGTACATCCTCATTACCCACCACCACTGTCACCATCCTTTGATTTAACACACAGGTATCATTTCCTTAGTCTGTGGATCAGCCCTGTGAAATGTCTGTCAAGCATCCACAAAGAGCCACAAAACATCCTTTTTTAGGAGTTCGTTTAGTCCCTGGCTCTGGTCAGGACAGGAGATGTGGTGTGCTGTGTGGAGTCACTGGGCACCAAAGGCAGGTCACGTCAGGTCACTGCTGCGCTTGCACTGCTTCCTGTAAGGCTTGTCCTTCACTGGTTTGGGTGATTCCTGCTGCAGTAATTCCTATAATACACAAGCCAAATTCCACATTACAACAATTTCAAGATGTTTCCATTACAATCTCCACCTCTGGTTCATTTGGAGCAGACCATGGGGTTTAAAATTGCAGTTAACTCTTCTGCTTGCCCTGCTCTGGCTTGGACTTTTCCACAGTCCTTTAGGAGTGTACCTGCTCCAAGTGAAGCCTTATCTACGAACCACAGACTCTTCAGGGGTCCACCTGCTGCAGCATGGACTTACCCACAGCCACAGTTGCTTTGAGGTAGACCAATTTCAGCATGGTATTTTCCATGGGCCCCAACGCCTTCAGAGATGTTCCTGCTCCACCATGGCCTCACCCACAGCCAGTCCCTTGGAAAATAAACCTGCTCCAGTATGGCCTTACCCATGAATGCAGTCCCTCCAGGGGTGTATTTGCTCTCTCCTGGGCTTATCCACAGCCACACACTTTGGGGTAGTCTTGCATGACCTCAAGTAGAGCCTTGATGTTTCAAGGTGTGCCTTCTCCAGTATGGACTTACCCTTGGGCCACAATCCCTTCAGAGGTCCAGCTGCTGTGGCACAGACATAACCATGGCCACAGATGCTGTGAGATGTACCTGCTCTGGCACAGCCTTATCCAGGGCCACAGATGCCTCAGGGTGTCCAGCTCCCACATGGACTCACCCACAGATCCCAGGCCCTTCCACTCAGGTTCACGCTGGAGTTCCAGCCTGTCCAGAACCACAGCACAGCAGCAGCAGCTCTGGCTATCTGCCAGCCCGACACATTGCCATGGCTGTTATCGAAATGTTCCCAGGCACCACAGAGTAAGGAGATAAGCAGCACAGCAGTGCACTGGGCAGCCACTAATGAGCACTAGACTCAGGCAAGCAAGCCCTGTGACAAACAGGAGCCTGTCAATTAATAGCAAAACAGCAATAATAGTGATAAAATCGATGGAGCACATTCCAATCACATCTGCTGGTACTCCGAGCCCCACAGCAGGCGACAAAAAGGACTGTTGTGGTTTAACCAGGCAGCTGCTGAGTGCCACAACAGCCACTTGCTCTTATTTCTCTTTCCTTCCACAACAGTCACTTCCTTACTCCCCATGGCGGGATAGGGGAGAGAATCAGAAAAGTGAGAAAACTTGTGTGTTAAGATGAAGACAGTTTAATAGAGAAGCAAACAAGGAATCCATTCACCACTCCCCATGGGCAGGCAGGTGTTCAGCCATCTCCAGGAAAGCAGGGCTCCACCACATGTAACAGTGATTTGGGAAGACAAACACCATCATTCTGAACTTCCTCTCCTTCTTCCCCCAGCTCTATACACTGCGCACAACACCATCTTTTACAGGATACCCCTATGGTCAGCTGTCATGGCTGTGCCCCCTCCCTGCTCCTTGTGCACCCACAGCCCTCTCTCTGGTGGGGTGAGAGGCAGAAAAGGCTCTGACTCAGCGTCAGCCATGTTCAGCTGTATCAAACACATCCCTGTGTTATCTGTTTTGGTCACAAATCCAGCCCATGACCAGCTACTCTGAGGAAAAGTAGCTCTACCCCCAGCTACAGCCACCACTTTCAAGTATTTATGGAGACCCCAAAATCTGAACTGCCTAGACTTGCCTCAGAATTATTTGCCAAAAAAATTTTGGATTAAAAAAAAAAAAGCCATAAGAAGAAAAAAGACCAACAACCTGGTCTCAGTGATAATTTGCTTTGATCAGTTTATCATATTGCTGTTAAAAATAAAGCCAGTGTGCACCTAATTGACAGCAAGAAATTAAATGACAAACAGCTTGAATAGAGCCTGAAGAGTTACTGAATTGGAGATATGCAGAGAGTAAAAAAGTTGACATATAAAAGAGAGGTTACATTTAATATGACTCAGTGCAGATGAAAACAGGAGCATCTCAGAGTTTGTAAAAAGAAAAATTTTGGTGGAAAAAGACAACACTCTTGGCCACTGATAACATTTGATTTAAAGTTCTCTGAAAAATCGTTTGTTCTAGAACAAAAGGAAAAATCAAAACAATTAATTCCAGAAGTATTACAACATAACTGACAAACATCTACTCTTTGTCTGGATTTCAAGCACAGTTTTAGTCAATTTGAATCCATTTCATGAAGAGGCTGCAGCTTTGACAGTGCTATTGCTAAAATCATCTCAGCAACAAAACATTGCTTGGCCTCATGTTAGTAGTTAATAAACAGCTCCAAGAACCAGCTCCAGAATTTGGAACTACTCAGTACATAAATGATCAGATTCGCCAGCATAGATTTGCCACTGCTTAGTACAGTGTAGTAAAATTATTAATGTATTACCTAACCAAAATCCTGAAGCCTTCCAAATAATTTCTTAAAGAACAGTTTAAAAAAACCCAGAGGTCCATTTCATTAAAAAAAAATTTTCTTCACAAATTTTGATAGCTGAAGAGGGTGAAAAAACTGATCTGTGTAAGTATATGAAAAAAGTCAATTTTACAATGTTACGGCCTGAAAGCACTGAAGAGACAGTCAGAAAATAAAGGCAACTGCAGACAATTAAACCCTTTAAAAAGCACCAAAATTAGCATTCCTTTTGTCAGATCCAAATAATTCAAGCGTTGTTCTGCCACAAAGGCCATCAACAATTTCTAATTTTAGCTTAATCCATTAGAAAAAAAAAACCCTGCATTTCTCACTAGTGTTCCCTCATTAAGAGCACTCCTAAATTGTACACTGAAATCTCAAGAACACTAGCTATGAATTCAAGTTCACACTCCCATGAAGACACTCTCAAACAAGCACTTTAATATGGAAATCCCAGTAAAGGCAATTCAACTACTTGTGATTCAGCTAAGCAGTGCCTTAACTGCTACATGGTAAGTATGCACCAAAAGCAGAAATTTAGCTATGAATTACACAAGAGTGACCTGTCCCACCTTGAACCTTCAGCTTTCTTGTTTCCTATGCTACACTTGATTACTCTCAGTAACAAGAAGCTCCACAAAAATAGTATCTCCTGATTTTCATTACAAGTGAGCAGTCATATGACCCTATAAAAAACCCTTTGTAAATAACCCTTATATTTTAAGTCAAGTTAATTTCTTTTCCATGGCTGTAAAATTGCAAATTCCTTTGCTCCCCTGGTTGCAGTGTATCGATCACACCTTCAATAGTCTTTCACCTAGAAATTCAGAAGCTCAGATTCCGTTTTGATCAGTATTACTAAAGAAGCATTTTTTCCAAACTTACACACACATAACTGGAAATTATTCTCAACATTTTTCAGAGGGCACAATTAATACTGGTGGGATAGCTGCAGTGCTTACTGCCTTTGTCACCCCGAGTTAAGGGTGGAACTGTGCCAGCCTGGGATGACCGGTGCACAGGCAAGGGCAGTTTGCCACTAGGAAACAACTTACATATTGTTATATACAACAGATATCTGAGGTCCCATAATCCTGACCGTACAGGACTGGACCAAACCCAGCATTTTGCTTAGTCAAAGGGTGCCCTACTCCCTCCTCCTCCCTTTAACTTCAGTATCTGCCTGTTTTCAAGAACTGACCTCACGACCCATGTAAAACTGCATTGCAACATCTTAAAAAACATCTTAAAAGTGGCTGTGGTTAACAACAGTACACTATACAAACAGTGATTTATCAACATTGTATGCTTTATTGAAAGTTGACAAGTGCAACAGTTAAATACATCGACGTGTTACAACTGTAGAGAACATGCACAAAAACATATGCATACTACTATACAGATCATATGCAAAAAATCCATACTGGGAAATCCAATTTTTTTTTCTTTAATTCTTTGCTAGCAGGGCTTGGTAATTTTTGGAGTGGTTTTCCCCATCTTGAACCAAACTACAATGAACAATGATTTACTTCAAGATAATCAGCAGCCAGGGAACTTCAGAAGTTACACAAACAGCATTAATTTGCCAAATTCTGAACAGTTGCGTAGGTGCATTCTTATTTATGTAGCATAAAAAAAAAACTTTTCAAACTTCTTCAGATCAGCCAATGAAACAACTAAACTTCAATCTGTACAACCTAAATAGTTACAGTTTTCTATTTTACAAAGTAATTACACTAAATACACAAATGTACAGTAGGCAAATAACCTTCATGGTAATTATCCTATGACCCAACAACTGTATTGTCACCTACCTGTTTTCTATATATAATACAGCTTTATGCACCTGTCCACTGGTTCAGAAAACGGTGCAAATATTTGCACTTAAGGTTTCAGGTGACAATTAAGTTTTAAACACTGAGATTACCTTTCTCCCTCTTCCTCTTAGATCCTATGCACCAGTCCACATTTTGGAACCCCAATGCACTACAGGGGGTTGAGCCATCACTTTTTACTCCAGTCTATTTCTTCACGTTTCCGAGTTTGAAAAGCACTTGTATCAGCTGTCGCACTGGATGAGTGGAAGATTTAAAAACAAACCAAAAAAATTCAGGCATGCAGCTTCGTTTCTCAGCCATTTGCAGAAGCTGCTCGAGTCCCCAGTGTACTTGTGCTAATTCTCTGGAAGTTTATTTTATTCAACCAACCTAAGAACATAGACTCCTTCAAGCCAAAGGGGTAAGGGAGGTAAGAGAGAGACAGATGAGTGTGTAATAAAAGGGGAAGAAGCCTCTCCTGATGTGTGCAAGGCATGGAGTCCTCAGTCTGGGTTGCAATGTGCATTGAAATGGATGAAGGGTGGCTGTGGCGGATTCCCGCTAGTCCTCCTCGCTCTGGACAGTCCAGAAGCCAGCAATCATGGTGGCGATGACATCTTGAGCTATGCTGAAGGCCCTGAGCCCTGTGATGCTGGCTGAGCAGGCTGCTGTGCTGTCCCTTGTGACTGGGAAGAGGAAGGCGGAGAACCAGTCTGCAGCTGTGCTTGGAACTGGGCAAGCTGCTCTGGGCTGGCAAGTGTTTTTAGCAGAGTGTTTTCTTGCTCCAGCTGTGAATTCTTCTCTATCAGCTCTTTGATTTGCTCTTTGAGGACCTCCACTTCCTCCCTGACTGCGTACATCAAGTGACTCTTTACCAGATCCTGCAACGCAGAACAGAGCGGGTGCGTTAGAGGAGCAGCGCTGTCCCGGCCGAGCCGTGCGGGGCCCGGGCTGTCACCGCCGGCACTCACGTGCGGCCGGGCCTGCACAGCGGCCCCGCCCCCCGCCAGGCCCCGCCCCCGCGCGCGCCGGCTGCAGCCAGTTCTGGGCGCAGGTTGCCGCATTTCCCTCCCTCCCGCCGTCCGCGCGCGGCCGCGGGTGACGTCAGAGCGCGGCGCGGCCAATGGGCGGCCGAGTTATTTATAGCCGGGAGTTAAAGGCTCGGAGTTTGCCTAGCAACAGCCGGAGAGGCTCCCGGGAGAGCGGCTCCAGGCACCGCTCCAGTAACAAAGGGCGGCCGGGCCCCCGGCTCCGCGCCGGGCGGGGGCCGGGGCAGCGGCCGCGGCGGCCGCCGAGGCGAACCCGCCGGCTCCGGGCACCGCAGCGCCCGTTCCGCCCGCGGGGAGAAGGGCGCAGCGGCGGGGATGTCCTGCTGCAGCCCGCGGGGGATGCGCTCGCCTGCGCTTGTGGGGGGAGTTAAAAAGACAAAATGAAAAGTACCCCAAAACGCCTTCCTCTCTTTGGGAATGTAAAACCCCCCAAATGCGCTCCGCTTTCTGCCCAGCAG